TAATTGACAATTCGAAACTCACCTGAATCAGAAGAGTTGTTTTCACTGCTTTTCTCAACAACAGATTCAGAAAATTCAAGTTCCCTGAAATTATTTTCAAAATATTTTTTTCATTATTATTGTTCTCTATGATGTTTTCTATATATATATATATATATATATATAACATTAATGAAGAAATAATAAAATGAAATGCTTACATTCCAGTTCAGACATATGAGAACAAAATGTCCATATCAGAAACATGAGAGGTTACTAAGAGTGAAGGAAAAGGAGAAAATACTAGTGAGGAAAAAGGACAATAAAAGAATAGTATTCAAAAAGAAAGATGATGATGATTGATCCTGCACTTAAAATTTTGAAGATCCTAGTTGATAGGAAAGCAAGAAGCTGGAGAGAAGTGGAAGAGAAGAAACTATTAGCATAGAATTTACATTTAGATCTAGTTAATTCAGCAGTAAAGTGATGAGACTTAACAGCCAATCTAGTAGTACTTATAAATTCATGCGGTTGAGGTACCAAAGAGGAAAGCTCATTAGAACAAATGCCATGAAAATATTTATAGAAAAGGCACAGGGAAGTTATATTGCAGTGGTGGAAAAGTGACCGAGATGACAGGTTAGGACTGATAACATTGCAGGTTCTTCTTTGGATTTTGTCAAGAATCACAAGATACATAGTGGAAGCAACAGACCAGATGTAGCAATAATATTCAATTCTTGTATGAAATATAAACTTATAACTGTCTATATTTCTGAGATGAATTAGCTAAATCTAACTATTTACATTATTCAAACTATTGTCCTCATCTTTGTCACCATGTTTATCACATTTTGGCCATTGTATGCTCCAGCCTTCTTCAGGTGGTTGGAATGTCGAACTGAAACCTTTATTTTGCTCACTGGGTAGACTGTTCTAGTTCCACGTGCCATGTCTAGTTATCTCCTCTCAAAGTTCTCCACCACCTTAACCAATTATTGAACTCACACACTTTGGGTCCTGTCACTGGATCTAACTAACACCTTTATCCACTGTGCCATGTATCCTTGTGCATAAATTTCTGAGTATTATAAACCTAATGTCTTCAGCAACCATTTTTTACCAGTGCTCATATTGCAATTTTTGTTGTTATTATCACTTTTCTCTGGCACTCCTTATTACTGGATTCCATATTGTATTCATTTCTATGCTTGATCGGCTCAGGAGATTTTTGTGGCCTAGCATATGTGCTGATCCCTTAGTTTACGAATTTTCCAATGATGTTCTTTGCCTATGATCTCAATTTGATCCCACAGAGGGCGGTGATCTCCCTTTTCTCTCCATATGTGGTCAGCCACGCCTGATTTTTCCACTTCTCCTTGTGTTACAGCTTTCTGGTGTTCTTGAAGCCTTACCTTAAGTGAGCAGCCTGTCTCCCTTTTATATTTCTTTCCACAGCTGCACGGGATAGAGTACGCACAGTCCTTAGTCATTTTCTCCTCTGAAGAAGGCTGGAACATACAACGACTGAAACGTTGTGATAAACATGGTGACAAAGATGAGGACAATAGTCTGAATAATGTAAATAGTATAAACTTATAAATTTGTAAAATACATTCTGGTGAGAAAAATTGATAACCAACTTTCCTAACAGCAGACTTATCAAATGATTTGATCTAGTTGTCCCAATTTATTTCCAGTTCCAGTTGAGTGACTCATTGTGTCTTCTTAGGCTAACATTTTCCACTCACATGAAGTGGAAAGATTATGTTGAATCAATTGCTAGATCTGCTGCTTGGAAAGTTGGTTCACTGTATCATGATAGACAATTTTTCTCACCTGAATCTATATTTATAAGTCTACCATTCATCCATGTATTGAATATTACTGCCACATCTGGTCTGATTCTTCTGCTATGTATTTAAAGATTCTTGATAAAATGCAAGAATAATCTGCACTGTTATCAGTCCTGACTTGGCATCTCAGCCTCAGTCACTTTTCCAATACAGTAACATAGATTCTCTGTGCCTTTTTTATAAATATTTTTATGGTAATTGTTCTGATGAACTTTCCTCTTTGTTACTGAGACTTTGTGAATTTAAGTGCAGTACTAAATTGGCAGATAGGTCTCATCATTTTACCAATGAAATAACTAGATGTATCTGTAACTTCTATGCTAATAGTTTCTGACCTTGCACTTCTTGCTTGTGAAACACTCTTCCGACTTACTGCTTTCCAGTCAACTTTGATCTTCAAAATTTAAATGCAATGTCAATTGTTGTCTTCTTAATTCTTGTTCTTTTATTGTTCTCCCTCCTTAATAATATTTTTCTTTGTCTCATATTCTTTCACACTCAGTAACTCCTTGTGTCTTAGTGGCTTTATGCCTTACTGGAAATAAAATGATTAAAAACATATCAGTAGAAAGCAGAAAGATCAAGGTCAATCTTTTGATTCTAGAAGAACATGAATTGATATTTTCATTAAACTCTTGCTAAAGCAACTATTATATAGCTGATGAATGGTAGATTTATAAACATGCAAAATGGATTCTGATATGATAGGCTTTCTTTCTATTGTTTAATGCATGAAAATGCAGTTCAATAAGTTTATCATGCATAATAATAAAGTTTAATCAATAAAGTTCAGTAAGTGTTGTGCCAGAGGGTTCTTGGTAATTATTTTATTGGAACTTTGGAAATAAAACAAACTGTGGTGAAACATTATAAGGTATAATATATTTTTATTTATTTGATTTAGAGTGAGTCTTATGATATTCGGTGTAGTAAAATGTTTGTAAGGTGGATATTGGTAGCAGTCTGGAGAAAGTTCATTTTGGTTCTGTATTTTTGACAGGTTAGAAATCAGAACTTGATAGTAGTAATCTTAGAAATGGGTCAACAACAATAGATCAGTGTCTAGCATGGCTGGTTTCTCTAGAAGTTGCCACTCTTTTTTTCTCAGTTTCTTTTGCTGTCACCCTCCTGGTCTTGCCCAGATCTTTCAGCTTATATCCTTTTGATCAGGCTCCCAGACTCTGGCATGTACCTTGGTTTTGGCTAACATCAAAAGTCTTTGTGTTAATTTTTTTTGATTGGCCAAAATTATTTTATTTTCTTATTCATTTTTTTTTTTTTATATGGCAGATGTTATGCATGGAGCCTATCTTATTTTGTTAGATTTATAGTTATAAATAAATAGGCTCTGATCCCACAAACTTCTGGTCTTTTTCAACCAGGTACAGTCTTTTCTTTTTTTTTCTCTTTTTAATTGACGTTTGTCGTCTTGTTGGTTGAGAGAGTGTATAGAAAGAAGGATAGAGAGAGAGAGAGAAAGAGAGAAGGTTAGAGAGAGAAAGATAAAGGTTTTAATAGAAAGTGAATGCCTTATATTAATTTGAATTCTTTTTATTTTTGTTTATCTATTTTATTTTCCTATTTTTATTTTATTTTTATCAGGACTCACAGATTGCAACAGCTATTAGGGAGATGTGATTAAATATACTCTAATGTTTAAAAAAAATTATTGAGTATTATTACTATTTAGATAATAAGCATTATAACATAGCACAAATAGGTATATTGTGGAAAAAGAAATTTTTGACAATATACGCATTTTTTATGTATTTATAGTTATTTTTTAACTTTTATCAAAAATGTCATTCTTGTACATGTAGTTATGGATAATAGTGTTGGTGTCACGATAAAAACACCCTTGATAGCCCTAGCAAAGCATCAAGAATTCAGCTATTATGACAAGATTATGAACAACACCAATCTGAGGCTGCAAGATGATGATGATGGATAATATTATACATTAATTACTAATTTTTTTTAATTAATAACTATTTGTGCTCAGTTATTGACATTAATAGCTATCTGCTGATGTGTTAGAATTTTGGCATAATGCAATAATAAAAATTTAAATTTCATCTCTCTAATAGATGTCGTGATCTGTCAATATAAAGTTTATCAATTGACTGACATCTTTAACATGAACAATTTCATCTCATCCTTATGCGAGGTGAAATACAGACCAGCATCTTTCTGTGATTTATATGTTAAAAGATATTTTAAATATTTTGTTATAATGAATTAATTGTTGAAAATCTACTTTAAGAAGCTATGGTCAACAGGCCATGAAGCCACACTCATTGATAAAATTTATTTAATATGTGATTTACATTAGGAAATATCAGAGGTCTGAATAGAATTTACTATCTGTCAGGAACCTTGATCTAAGAAGAATTGATCTGTGGTGACCCCAATGTTTACTGGGTTAACCCAAAGAGATAACAAAGTAAGTTTTGTACTTGGTGACACCTTATAGCGGCATTTCTCAACTGATGCACCTGGGCACACTGATGGACTCTGAAAGATAGCCAGGTGCCACAAGTTAACAGAAGAGTAATTCATTAATTATTTTTATATTTAAAAATCTTTATTTTTAAATATAAAAATAATTCATAAATTACTCTAAATTACTAAATTAAGCTAGAGACAACGAACACATGGCTTCCATGTCTAAGTCAAGTTTTTGTCATTTGATATTTTAAACTGGATGCTAAATTCCTTAATCTTTAAGGAGTGAATAATCCTTTCCCTTTTGCCTTCCCAAGTGATTTAAATCAGTCATTATCAGCCTCTCGAAGAAAAAAAAAAAAAAAATCACAAAAACAAAAAAGCACATTCTTTATAAATCCCTTTAAAAAATGAAAACTGTACTGTTAATCTTCTTTGGTTTGATTGACTGATTCGTGTTTTTACAGTTTATCAGCCCTTTGTAATTTATTTAAAGCCAGGAAATATTTTTAGATTGTAAGAATTATTTTTTGGAGATAACGATTTAGTGATACAAGTCTTACTAATTAACCTGTAGCTGGGAGGAAAAGAGATGAATTCATACCTTTTCTCAAGGTTATTTGTGTATAAGGGAATATAACGAACCCAACTGGAATTGGAACACGGCTCTCTGATTAACAATTCTGAGCTGTTATCATTACACCACCCACACATCCATCCTTACAGTACCTGGTATTCCCAAGCGGTCACCATTTATGTACTGATCAGACTTGATGTTGCTTAACTTCAGTGATCATAAGGGAACCAATGTTTCAACATGATATGGCCATAAGTCAATCTTCTTTGGGAATTTTAAACCAAAATTTTATATTTTCAAATTCCATGACTAAATTTTTCCTTATTAATATTTAAAGTGAGCCCCAGAATTTTAGTTATTCTACAATTGCACCCTGGAGTACAAAAGATTGAGAAATACTATCTTACAGAGTCAAAAAAGAGTTAGTGGCCTGGAGAGTTGACTTAGAAAATGTTACCAAGTGCAGAATCAGTTCTTGAAGGATGTTGGAAGTTTATTTTATAAAATAGGTGAGTTATTAAGTATAACACCTGAGAGTAAATGATATCAAGATGAACTTTTATACATTATGACAATGATCAAATAAAGGTAATGATTAAAGAATGATTACAGAGAGAAATGGAAGTGATACCTATGGCTATTTTCAGGTAGACATTAAGAAAATTCCACTAATAACAATTTTATTCAATTTCTTTTATACTAAAGATCACAAAAGCTTAAATTGCTACTCACTTGTCGAGGATGTCAGATAATTTTTTGGCAACATGAGTTTTAAAACCTGGTGTCATTTTCAATTCACTGGAATCAACAGAATATGTCTGTTTAGGTCTGAAAGTAAAATAAAAACAGCATTTATCATCTATGTTTAAATTTCAGAATAAATTTAGAATGAGTTCATGGGTAAAAGTTTCTACCAAAAACTGAAACTTAAGCAACTAACATAAAAACAGAAAGAGCTTTTTCGGTTACCTTATACTCCTTAAAAAAAGACTTAATTTTCTTTTTTCACTCACGCTCCCTGATTGTGACTCATGAATCGAAAGATTGGAACAACACAACATGCATTTTGGCCAATTAATTCACACACAACAACCACATTTGCAAAAGGCTATCAGGAAAAAACATTATTATTATATATGCATATGAAGAATAAATATGACAACAGGAAGTCACTGTCATAATTCCCAAGAAATCACGGCATAAAACAAAGAAAATTAATTTGTACAAATACTGAAAAAACAAACATGAATAAGGTAACATAAAACCACTCCACTATCTTTCTCCCAAATTATGACAATTCGTAGATAACAAAGAAAAAGAATCTGTGAAGAGTGATTATCTTATAGTGGGTCAGCCAATTTGTATTGGTTATAAATAGAAATAAAAACTGACCCTCTACAATTTTTACAATAGTAAATGTAACAAAGACAACAACAAGAGAAATAATCAAGTAGAAGAAAATGTTAATTTTGTTCAACAATAAATATTTTTTTATAAACACAACAAATACATAATATATAGTGCAAAAGTTGATAAACACAATAGAGTTCTTTGGTGTGTGTGTTACTGAAAGAATTTGAGCTACTGTACTGTATGTGTGAAAATGACACGGTTTAGTTAGCTATATTTGTTTTTTTAGGAAAATTAAACAGATGTTTTTTTGTGTATTAAATAGAAAAATGTATTGTTCTTGACTCACTGATTGTTATCGCTCATTAACCAGAGATTCTTGTGGAATGGAATATTTTGTGGGAGTGAGCGTTAAGCCTGGAGATGGTTGACAAAGTTTGTTGTTGTATTGAAGATAAAGTTTGTCTCCTTTGCTGTGTTGATTTCCAATGAAGTCAAGTGAATTGGTTTCAATATTTTAAGTGCCCACTGACCAAGTCGCGTCGAAGTTTCGTTTTTTATTAGTTCTCTTGGTCACGTGGGAGGGCTCGTAAACATGTTTACATTTTATGGCGTCAACTAGAGGTCAAAATTTGGGTCGGTACCTTCGGACGTAGTTGTGACACCTAATTAATATTTTACAACTAATCAAAATACATCAGTTGTTATATTTGGCTGGGAGCCTCTATGTGTTTAACTTGCACAAAATTTAAGATTTAAAAAAATGTAGGAATCTGATTCTACAATCTCCTACGTCCTGAAGGGACATGGCATTTAAGCCGTGGAGAGGATAAATGATAAAGACAGTGAAATGCTAATGCTTTAGATGATGATAGTTGAAAATAATTGAAGATAAATTAATTTTATAAAAAAAAAGAAAAAGAAATCTATACTGTATGAGGATGAAAAGTTCATAGGTTGACTGTAAAGAAGTCATGCTAGAGCTGTGAAATCTTGCATGTATTAATTTCGGCTTTTATTAATAATTCATTGTTTCTTTCCAGGTAAATTGGTCAAAGTAGACTGTTCATCCTGTTGGTCTAAAAAGTCATCAGCTGATATGTCATCCTCACTGCAATAGTAATTCCCAGCCAGGTGTTTTTACATGTTTGTGAACAGAAGAATAGTCAAATGAGGAGAATAGGGAAGGTGATCAACCAGTTCAAAGTCACAGTCATGCACAGTAGCCATTGAAACCAAGGACTTTTGTGCTGGAGCATTGTCCTCATGAAACAAGACTCCTTTTGTCAGTTTTCCTGGGTGTTTGGTCTTGATAGCCTTTTGTAACTGTCTCAGCATTTTAGCATCATACTCTCCATTGATGGTGTGGCCCTTTTAAAGATAATCAATAAACACAATGCTTTTTGTATCCCAAAAAACTGAAGCCATCTTGGCCTTCTTTGAAGCAGCTGATGGATTTATCTCTGGTACAAAACGATGAACCCAACTCTCATCCTGGGTTAAGAGACATTCAAGGAAACTAGCTGGATCTAACTCAAACAATGTCAGATTTTCTCATGATGTGATTAGTCTATGCACTTTTGATCAGGTGTCAAAAAACGTGGAACCTACCGAGCAGAAACCTTTGTCATGCCAAGTTCATTGTGCAGAATATTCACAACTCTCTCATGGGATATGCTAATAGTATTGGCTATTTGATTTATAGTCAATCGCCTGTCATCCATTACCATGTGATCAATGTTTTCCTCAGTCTTGGCAATTGCAGGACATCCATCCAGACCATTGTCATCTTCAAAGACTCTTCCTTCCTACCCTATGTTCAACTGCCCACTTTTGCACTGTTGATAAAACTGGGATCATCTTCCCCTAAGGTAGCAACCATGTCACCATGGGTTAATTAGTAAGACTTGTATCACTAAAATCATTATTTCAAAAAAAAAAAAAAAAAAAAAATATTCTTACAATCTAAAAATATGTTCGAGCTTTAAGTAACCTGCAATTGGCTGATGAGCCATAGAAAATGAATCAATCTTTTCCAGTATCTGCATGTGTGAAACTTTCTGTTTATACATTGTCTGAAGAAAAGGACTAAGAAGATTCTCTTGACAAAAACCAGATGCCCCAAGGCTGGCTAACAAGTGGAACCACTAGGTAAACCTTTTAATATAATTCTTTATTTTTCAAAGTAGGGCTAAGCAATGGAAAATACATGTATTTTGAATTAGTAAAAAAATATTTGGATAACTTTTGCACAGTGGGTCATTCAAAGATTCTGTCACATAAACACCCTTTCAAATTCCCTTTAGGAATATGGGTTTTGACTAAACAATAACAATCTCATGCTTTAATCAAAGAAATTTTTATATGTTCTAATTAAATGTTTCTTTTTCCATTATAGTTTTTTCAACTTTCTTTATTCTCATACTCACTTTAATTGATTTAAGTATAATAACTTAATTCCTTTCAACCACATGGTCCCATGAAACTATTAACAATTAAATTCATTAATGAATTTAATGACTTTTTAAAATGATTTTTAAAACAAATTTAATTACTTTGATTTTTAATGGTTTTAATTTTTAATGGTTTTAATTTTTAATGGCTTTAATTTTTAATGACCAAATGTTTGAAGAAAAGGCCAAAATTATATACCCTTGATTTAGATAACATTAATTTGATGGTGTCCAGAAGTGAACAAATTTTTTATGTAGAAAAAATTAGTTTCATATTTTCAGACATTACTAAGATTTTAGAATTGGAAGTTTAATTTATAACATAGGTGAGTTATTTGTCTATATCTCTGAGATGAGGTATTATGATTACTTGCATTATTTACATTATTCAAACTGTTATCCTCATCTTCATTGCTATATTCACAATGTTTCAGCTGTTGTACACTTCGGCCTTCTTCAGGTGATTGGAATATCGAACTGAACCCTATATTTCATCCACTGATATCAGGCCACAGCAGTGGTGAATCAAAACTTGGAGAGCTGAGTTAAAGGGAAATAACTGATACATCTGGAAGAGGCATGGTATGTGAAACTAAAACAATCTACCCCGGTGGACAAAATAAAGGGTTTGGTTTGAAATTCCAATAAACGGAAGAAAGCCAGAAACATTGTGAATATGGCAATGAAGATGAGGATAACAGTCCGAATAATGTAAATAATGCAAGTAATAGGTAAGTTATTAAGTATAACACCTGAGAGTAAATGATATTAAGGTGAACTTTTATACATTATGACATTGATCAAGTAAAGGTAATGATTGAAGAATGATTACAGAGAGAAATGGAAGTGATATCTATGGCTATTTTCAGATAGACATCAAGAAAATTCTGCTAATAACAATTCTTTGTCATTTTTCTTTATTTTCATACATACTTTCATTTATTTAAGTATAACAATTTCATTCATTTCAACCACATGATCATATGAAGCCATTAAAATTTTAAGTCATTAATGAATTTAATGATTTTTTGAAACAATTATAATGACTTGATAGGACCATGAAGTACATTCATAAAAAATAGTTCAGGGTGAGTAAAAGTTACAAATGAATTAGCAGCATGAAATGAGGCCAGACAGAAAAGGAACCTAAATCTATGGATGTGACCTGAAATGGGACTCATTCCTTCCACTGAGATGATGAGCAGGGACAAGGGATACCCCTGTGTGCAGTCATAACTAAAATATCAAGATACGTATACAAAGTCTGATTCGTAAACTAACAACAACCAAGCCAAACAAACTTTCACCAACCCGATTTAAAAAAGGACTCACCCCAATCAAAGTCAATTAAATAAACATATATAGTCTGTTTATATCTTTGATTCTGTTTCTTTATTTTGAAGTGTTCCAAATTTTCCAATAAATATTAGCAAGGCCCTCTGGTACTTCGC